CACTTCATACATAGAGTTTATTAATTTTAACTTGTTGGATATTGCGGCACATTAAAAAATATTTATTTTCTTTTACAATTGTAGGTGAAGCTAGCGGAGGCGTTGCACAGATCAAGAATGATATAAGATTTGGCCATGAGCCAGAAAAAGGAGGTGTAAGGCAGACTGGACGTGGCATTGGTGTTGGAGGTGAAGCCAAAGTAAAAATTCCATATCATCAGCCTGCTAGCTCTACAGACAAGATACTTGACATTACAGCACTAAAAAAACAACCAAAGTTACTGTAGTTTAGTTTCTTATGATCTTTAAGTCAGGCCAGTGTATTTATGTATGCGTATTTTAATGTGTTTATGTTTATTTGACATGTTTGTGTAACCAAACTTCAGCATGCAGTAAAATGTTGTTAATTCAGAGTAATTGGAGCTAAAGAACACAGGCTTTAAATTCAGTCACTTGGAATTGTCGATTTATATCAAGAACTTTTATTATAAATATTTTCTATTCATGCAAGTTATCATGAGAGTTACCTTCGCACTTGCCACTCGATCCGCCCAACCACGTCTAGGTTCAGCGAGCGGGCAGGCATTCTTCTGACTGTAAGTAAACATTGGTGGAGTATACTTTTATTACTAGTGATATCCCTCTCGTTACTCAATGTGAATTACCTTGTTAAACCTGATTTTGTTGGTGATGACCATTGACGAAGTGTATCTTTGCGTACAATACTGTGAGCAAGTTGTGGAATGATTGGAGCAGAGCAAATATTTCTTGCCGTTGTTTGTCATCAGTCTTTCGACTGGTTTACTCGTACAGAAATCATCTTTCTTCCCAATTCTCCTCCCTGTTCATTCTTTCTATGGCTACTGAGATAACCTGCCCATGCAATGTGCATGCATGAATGAAGGATACAGTTGTTTACAATTTTTCAGCAGTTGTCCAGTATAAGTTTTTTTAATTGGAACCATTCACAGTTGACCACGGAAAAGCGAAGAATTCCTAACGATTCACAACAGAAAATTTACCGGCCTGGTTTATAGCTGTCGATTTTATATTTTTGTATCGTGTTTTTGGACTGTTTAGAGAAATATACTATAGCAGGGGTGCTTGGCATATGGCATGCAGGCCTAATATGGCCCACTGCATCTCTTCATGTGGCTCCTTTAATGTCATTAAGCAACTTATACTAGGGCCATATTTAGGGTATGGGAGAACAGGGTGAACATCCCAGGCCTCACAGTTTTGTATCATGGTATCTGTTTAATTTTGTGTTTTGAATCAATTTGATTTTGTTAAGCAGTGAGTTCATTATTTGATAGAAGAATAGTCGCTAAATGCAGGTGGCTAAGACCCCTCAGTGTTTTGGTAGGATAGTTACTTCAAAGAAGCATGTGACTGTGTCACTTGGCAAATATGACCAATTCTGTCACTTTTAGTTTGGGGAAGGGGAATTTACTTACCAGTTTTTCCAACAGATTTGTTCTACTTACCAAGTGTCGATGCTAATCGTTTTCACCGGAACATAAAGTGTCAGTCAGACAATATCACCAAGACGTGTTTATTACAGAATTGAGCATGTTCCTGTGGGGGATTTGTAAACCTCATCGAGAGGCATGACAATCTGTTTTTTTTTTTTCATGTCCAGTACACACCATTCAGCATGGTGTGCATTGTTGGTTAGCAGGATTCAAATCCCCATCAGTACATGGGTTCGATCGGGACCGCGACATTTAACGCTCCTGCTGTGACCCCTTTTCGCAAAGTGATGATGAACGTGGAATAATTGTTGGGATGCCACGGAGAAACCGGGGAAACCCAGAGGAAAACTCCGTGTTGCCTAGACCACGGCCTTGCCCAACACAAGTTATAAATTCGGGCACCGCCGGGAATCGAACCCGGGACCCCAGTATTACAAGCCCAGCGTTCTAACCACTAGACCACCATGGCGGTTATGACAATCTGTGAATGAATGCGAGTGATAGGAGAATGAATCTTCGGCTTGATTGGTGGGTGATATGGCTCCCATTGGTGCCATTGACACAGCTTAATTTGTGAAAGACAACTACACAATGCATGGCTGACACCCAAATTCTTGAGGCAAGAGGAGGCTGAAGCTTCTGATTGTTGAAAGAATAAGTGGTAGTCAAGTGTCAGTATTTCTGTTATTGCCCATACTAGAGTCTTGCCTTTATTAGCTTAAAGTGTAAAGCATAAATGTGCTTAGCATATGTTGATTGCAGTTACCTTGATTCTAAAGTTTACAGTAAAGTCACTAAACTCATTAATTATCTTCATCAGAATATCAGGGGACTAAGAAACAAAAGTGTTGAATTAATACAGTTTCTTTAAAATGGATGGCATAAACGTTCATATATTGTGTCTAAGCAAACATCACATGGCAGAAGTTATGCTCCACCTCACGTTACATGGTTATTTGTCAGGTTTCAGGTTCTGCAGACAAAAACCTAGAGGACAGGTGTCTGTGTGTATTTTGGTAAGAAAGATTCAACAAAATTTATATTTCATATCTTTGTAAAGAATAGGATTTGCATATGCGAGTTTGCTCCTATGCAATTTCATACCTGACGCTTTAAACTTAAAAAAGAAATAATTTAATCTCTGCGGAGGTACCAGGGTTATTTTTTCTACGTGATTTTCTATAGGTCGGCGTCTTATATGAATGCAACTATCACATAACAGCAGAGATGACTACACATCAATCACATGAAAGAATCGCAGTCAATCGCGGGGACCAACGAATTGCCGATTGTGTGTAAAATATATTTTTTTAAATTCCCTTTTATTTTATTTACGTTATTTCAGAGCGTTAAATGTAATGCCAATGTTTGGGTGTTGGGAACGCATGTCATTGCCTTCCCATTGATTTACATTATAAAAGAGTTTCAATTTACGCCGGTTCGTCCAGGAACGCATCCCCGGCGTAAATCGAGGGCTACCTGTATTTGGATGAACTGTTGTGAACTTCATTGATCAGATAATGAGCCCTGAGATGTCCCTAAATGATAGTTAGAAATATGGAATTTGTAAGTAGAGGTGTGTATATGAACATTTGAAAAAGATAAATAAACGGCTGAGACACTGATTTGCCGAACTAGTACAGCATATTTTATAATTTGAAGAAAATATGTTTGGTTTGAGTATTATTATGTGAGAAAGCTTGCCCTTGACATAGTCTAAAAAAACTAGCTGAAACATCAGTTGAATTGTAAAAAAAAACACTGTGAAGAAATGGTTCTGTTCATTCATGAAGAGAAATCCGACATACAGTTGCACAAGCAGAAAATTTCATAAAGAAAATATTCCAGTTTTCTCTTTAAAAAAAGGCTTATGTCGTTGCCGTCGTTACATATTCGGGGCAATTGTTATTATAGTCGTGATGGGGAAACTTTCTCACACCACGAATTTAGTAATTGTGTTTGAATGTTTGTATAAAGTCAAGGTTGAGTATTATTTGCGTGGGCGGGTGTCCATTTGTAAAATGGCGATGTCTTTGTCACGTGCTACCTCTTGACCAATCACCGTTTCTAAGTTGTTTGAATCGGCATCTGTTGAAGTTCAAATGGCAATGCATTTTAGTAAAAAATGGTAAATGAATTACGTCATTGCGAAATGTTCTGAGTTAACCAGTCGTCCTTTAGAACTAGATCCACCGATTATGGCCGCTGATCTTGTAGGGAGTGCCCAGTATGCGGACCACTCAATGAAGGAAGGAAGGAGTTTCCGTCGGTCAGTACAACAGTGTAAAAGCCTGGTAACTGTCGTCTTGTGACTGTGCTGTGTTATCAACATGCCACCTGTTCGTTGCAATTTCCTTTCTGGTAACTGATAACGCCTCGTATCACAGCACTCAGACAGACAAACCACCGACGTCTTAATCAAAGATGGACGAAATGAAAGCCTGGCTACTGGATAGAAACATCCCATTTTGTGACAACGTGTTGAAAGCTCAACTGTATGATTTAATCAAATCAAATCTTACATAATCAAATTAAATAAGTCAAACCACAAATATTATGTGATTGATCAGATTTTAGCAGACAAACAACGTACTGTGCTGAGACTTACGTCGTAAAATCCAGATTTAAACCCCATTGAACTTATTTGGGCAGATGTAAAATAATGGGTTGCAAGGAAGAACACAAGCTTTTAATGTAAATGATCTGGTGCTTCCATGGTGACTAAGTATAATGAATTCTTCTTGGGCTCCCAGCCATCTACATTAAAAGCTTTTACTTTCAGTAACAACAGTTTTTTACCCGGTGGTCTTACATAGTCAATTATTTATTTTGTTAAACTGAATGTAAGTACATAGGCTAAGGGTTTGTTCGGATGTTAAAATATTATTTTAATTTCTATAGTTAATTCATCACACTGACATCTAGAAGGCAATTTGTACATCATTAATAGATATGTCAATTATTTTAAACCAGGTGGTGATACAGTGGCTAAAGTGGATACAGTTGGCTAGACTGTAGGCTGTAACTCATCTGTCATTGGCCATTGTAGACTGAGTGTTGGGCTTTAAATAAAATTATTGTACAAAGTGTTACATGCTATGAACGGACATGATATTATTTTCTCTCGTTTTCAACATTCATATCACATCGACAGATCCTGAGTTCAGTTACTGGCTAAGAACCCTCACTCGGTCATCAAATGTAAAAAAAAAATTTAGGGGGAGGGATATAGCTCCTACTCATTCGTAACCTCATCACTAGACGGGGATGAGAGGTCAGTGTCACGTCCCGGCCGCGCTTTACCCACGGGAAATGACCCCGGAACCCATCACATGTGAGACGGTTATCTCCAGAGCCGGTCAGGGCGCAGAGGCTAGAAGAAAAATCCCATGCCCCTGTCCGAGATCGAAGCCCGGTCGTTCAGTCTGTACTGTACTCCGATAGATGGCGTTAATGACGAACTTCTTAAATAGTATTCAGTTCCACCGCTAGATGCCGTGGAATAAGAACTTCTTTCGTTTTAGGATGTTTTTTTAACTTCTAAACGTAATATTTATGTGCCGATATGTTTCTGAACGATTTTGAGACCGAAAAATTGTTACTTTAGAATGAGTTACACAAAATTCGGTATAAATTAAATTTATAATGTAGTAATGTTGATTGAATAAGACTGCATCCGTAAGTGGAACGTTATGCTTTTAAACACACGTCCGTATGTATTGGATTTAATGCGCTGTCACAGTAGCGGTGTTCATAACCAAAATATGAAATATGATGATCGAAAGATATGAAGCATTGATTCAATTCTTTCCCCTTTGTGGTTCGCCACGTTGGGTAATCTGATTTCATTGTTCTACTGAGACCAGTGTATTACAGAAGCTCAGTTTCAATGTTTAATTACTTAATCAGGGTTATTTCCATGTCCTGGCCGTTTTACTGAGGAGGTCAGAGCAGTGTCGAAAGGGCAGAGAAAACTTGGGTTACAGGAGCTCAATTTCAATGTTTAATTACTTAATTTACGAGACCAGGGTTATTTCCATGTCCTGAGGAGGTCAGATCAGTGTCGAAAGGGCAGAGAAAACTTGGACACTTGGCCTGTGTGTCTGTTCGAATGTTCCAAAATGCAACGCAAATGGGATTTTAGTTGAACGTTATTTGTGCATGTAGTAAACGAGTATCAGAAACATGGATAAAATTCACTATAGAACAAATGCATTTTATGTCTGTATGTTATCTCTCATCACTTCTAGGCAGTTTTTGTTTGCATGTAGTTTTTTGAAAGAGAAGTATAGGAAATTCCACGACCTGTTTTTTCATGTTCCTTGAAAGAGAGCTATAGAAAATTCCACGACCTGTTTTTTCATGTTCTGATCACCATACGGAGATGTCATTATAAAGTTTAATACATCGTGTATGGAATTGTTACATTTTTATTTGTCCCCAGATTTGAACACCCATTTATCTCATTAAATCAAAGGGAATCTAACTCTGTGCTCCTTTGGGTAGCCGAGACAGTCGGCTGGAAAAGAAATCCTTGCCCTTCTATTGGTGTCTGCACGTGCCTGACACATAAATGTTAATAGACGGATGTTCAGTCCTTTGTAGCACGTAATTTCCGGAGTGACACATAATTTTGTGCACGACCCAGAAGTGCGTGGAAGGAGTGAACGTTTTGGATGACCAACTGCCCTGAACGTGTTCCTAGTTTCACCTGCCACTGATATCCGTAATGAAAACAATATTTTAGTATAATGACAATTGGTTTCTCCATTCGGGCCTCTATCCAAAACCAAAACTGCCACGTGTTTATGAAACACTGGACAGTAGCCGATGCGAGCGAGTGTGGCATAAGGAAATCACTGTGGGCTTCTTCACCGATCAGTTTTATCCGACTTGTCAGAAACCTGACCTAAAAATGTCGTCCACTGGACCTCGAAAACCTGATCCATTAAGCGGTACTAGTGTTACATTTAAAATATTTTTATCTTGGATTGTGTTCGACCTGGGACCTACATTTTCTGTCGCGTTGGTATGAAAGGAATATTATCTCGCCGGAGGATTGCGTCACAGTGACACTGACTTCATTTTATGAGTGAGATGCAGTTTATCTCACGAGATGTTCCTCCGCAGGTATTGAAGCAAAGAGTTGAAGACGTGACGCTGCCAGGAGGCGAGAAAGTGGACGTGATTGTGTCGGAATGGATGGGCTTCTATCTGTTGCACGAGGGGATGCTGGACTCGGTGCTCCATGCCCGAGACGTCCACCTCAAGGCTGGCGGCAAGCTGTTCCCAGAAAAGGCAGAACTCTGGTGTGCCCCCTGCAGCTTGCCTCGACTTGTACGACCTCTCATCCGCGGAACTGAATTCGGTATCGGGAAAGTGTCTGTTGCCCGCGCGTCGCGGGGGGAAGTACCAGGGTGTCTGCGTCTGGTTTTCTTGTCTGGTCCCGAGCGCCGTGGAGTTGTCCACCGCACGCTCTGATCCGCCCACGCACTGGAGGCAGACAGCGATCCTGCTCCCGCGCGAGGTCCCCGTGGAAGAGGGAACTCCTTTCGCCTGGGAGCTGCGACTGGACAGGAGCGTTGCCAACTGTCGACAGTACGACGTAAAGTTCTCTGAGCTGGACCCGGGGGAGGTGAATCACCCTGTGCCCTGCGCGTGTCACCTTTATGCAACAAAAGGAGGAGGAGGACATTTCTGGAGAAGAGTTACGACTCTGATGAAAGCTGCCTCGGTAAATACGAGATTCTGATGAGATTTCGTATCATAAATTGTTCGCTGAATTCTACTCTGGTTTCTGTCGATGCAAAATAATGACATCCACGTCACTTCGAATCAATTTTCCGAAGTCTGATCAGTCTTTTAGAAATTGGTTCGTGTCGTGAAATGTAGACGTCATTAAAGACTCTTGAGTGTTCGTTTGCCGCGCATGTGACGTCACGTGACAGATTTTGCTTTTGTGTTTTGCAGCGCGTCACCCGGACGTCGTGACGCTGGCTGTGAACTGCGATCCAGACTGCGGAGGAAATGTCTTCTGGCCACGCGGCAGTCGTGAGTCTCGTTTCCAGCTTGCATTTGCGCTTTGTACGTAAACTTTATTTCGTAGGAGAGTTGATGGCACGGCTGTAAAATAAAGAAAGGAAATTAATTGTGCAACCGGAAGCTTCATAAATGTGATTTCCCAACAACTTTCCCCGCGATGCCTCGAGGAGCGCCGACAGAACGATTTCCCAGAACCGCGTCCTGAGATTTATTTTAAGATTCCTCAATTTCAAATCTCAGCCTGGAGACTGCTTATCCTGACTGATCGTTTCCGTGGTTTTCCTCGGTCACAGCAACCAAGTTCCGGCGTTACGTGTTAAATTATACGACGACCGCTTCCTTCCTTGTCCTTACCAATTTATTAAGTCAATACTTGGTCGAAGCTACTGACAGCGTCGTTTTATAAATGCATTATGAGAAGAAGCCGTCTTCTGGGACGTTTCAGAGGTGCTTTCTGTCTCTGTATCAGGGCGGTGCATCTGAAACGTCGGGGTATTTCTGCCAGATTTCGCGGGACAACGTCTCAGAAGACAGTCAGCTTCATTCTCGCAGCCGCGAGAACTTGAAACCCCAAATAAATAATAAAAATCACTCCGGAGTGCTTCGATCTGGAATCGAAGTCATTCCTCTAAGAATCTTTTTTATTTCGACGTAAGAAACCGTGCAGTTGGCAGAGCCGTGTACTTCCGTCGCTTTTGCGCGCGTTTATTGTTTTCGAGTTTGTATCTCATCGCCAGGGGGCACGCCCGCCCGGCAGAGCCTGCCATCTGGCGTCCGTGTAGCTTTCAAGGCAAATTGCCTGTTCTGCTTTATCCCCGAGTCCCAGTTCCGGCGCCACCTGTCTCGTCCGTTGATGTCTTTATTTTCCGGAGAGTAATAACAGCCTTCAGACGAAGGTGGCCTTGGACCCGATCGTCCAGTGAACTGAACGAGACGCCAGACGCGTGTGTTCAGCTCAACCAACCCCTAATTCAAAGATCTCGAGACGATTGAAACCCGTGACTGGAATCTCTTTTCAGTTCCATGTTCACTGCCCGTCTGTGGTTTCCTTGGTTACAGAACCATTTTGTTTTCCGCTTTAGATAGGGGCTTGCAATAAACTACTTTTAAGACACAGAAATAGATGGAAGGGAAAGGGTAAAATTTACCCAGTGCACTCCGGTGGCTTCGCCTCAAGGGGCAGAGACCCCGGAGCCCATTCCACAGGTGAATTTTTTTTTAAATAATGAAATCGATCTTCAAGAAGAGTGAATAATGAATTGGCGTAGAGTGGAAGGCGCTGATCGGACGTTTATCTGGACGGAGACAAAGGGGAACCTACGAAAACTCTCTGTTAGGATAGTCAGTGTCCACGCCGAGATCTGAACTAGGGCCTCCAGTCCAGCCGCTCAGAGAGTTTGGCTGGCAAATCCGCATCGACACTCGCACTATAGCATAATTTCGACATTAATTTTAAAACTGTCCTCGTATCTACGTCCAGGTCTCGAAAGTTGTCTCTTTCCATCAGGTTTTTCCGCGGATGGACACGCCTTCCCACCTTCCAGGGGTCGCAGCTTTCTTCAGAACAGGGCGAATACGAGACGTAGGTTCAGATGGCAGACGTAGACAGGATTAATCTGGCTCCGGATGACGTCTTCTCGTCTGCGATTAAAAAAGTTTTTGTTCGCGCCACGAAGCCTCAACAAGTTCGCCTTTTCTTCGCTGGTGCGTTGAATGTCCCGCGCATTCCTAGTTCCGTTTGAGGTCTCGCCGCTGTGACCAGTAAGCGTGACCGCGGCCCTCGCTTTATTCTCCTTTCTTCGCCTCTCCTTTTGTTTTGTTCTTCGTTCTAGCGTAGGAGGGGGTACGAGTCGCTTGCGTCCTTCTTGCAGAAACAAGTTACGTTTTGTTTGCATTTGCGTTTGACTGTGTTTGTGACTTGTTAGCATTTTTATTCTGATGCGTTTTCTTTGTACGTTACATTGGATTGTCCTTTTTGATTCATCAAATTCGTATCTCGTTTTAATTCGCGCGCTGTCAATAATTCTCATACCAACTTTACCCATTGTTACCGGGCGGCCGTTACAGCGCACTTAAACTGCGGTCAGTGGGCTTCAGGGCGAGGGTCGCCTGAAACAACCCACAATTCCTCGTAAGCGACAGCGCTGAGTCCTTTGTTCGTGTGAGCCGGCCGGCGTCTTGTCTGCACTGCACGAGGCGTTGCATTTTACAGATTCAGTCTTCCAGCAACGCAGACCTCGTCTGCGGCCACTTGGATTGTCGTAAACACCAGAGACCTGCGTTTTCTAGAACGCTGTGATAACCTTTGCCTTTGAAAGGAGAACTCAGATTCCGCAACACTCGGGTGGATATCCACGCCAGTTTTCTCTAGAACTACAAGACCGACATTTTTAAATTTTACAAACGGTTGTATTAGAAACGTCTTTCTGAATTTAAACTCCTGGGACCTTTTTGTTGTTAACGTATTAATTTGAACATTTGTTAATGCGCGTGCTCGTATGTTTCGTTATTTTTTTCTCAGGTCAAGCCCCCGTTTGGTGGCGGTTGGCTTTCTTTTTAAATTTTTTTAAAGATAATCACGTGAAACGAAACGTTTAGATCCCTGCAGCAGCTTTATCTCGGTCAGACCTAGTTCGGTTGCGGCGCCGCCCGGTCATTCATCACGCCCCCTCTCCCTCTTCTTTGTGCGCGAGGCAGCAGATAATTGGTGGACGATGAAGTGTCACGTGACAACTACAACAATGTGAAAACAGATATTATTGCATGAACTAAAAATCGTGTTTTCTTGCCTCTCACGGCCTCGTTTTTTTTGTGAAAGTTCAAAGTAGTGTTTTGGGTTTTGACAAGTGTGCGAGCTAATTAAATTTAATGAAAATGTTGGAGCCATTTTCGAAAAAAATAAAAATTTGTAACCTAAAATGAGTGCGTCTTGTCTGCCAGCCAGGTCCTCAAGCACTGAATATATTTTAACCAAACTTGGCACAGAGAGGTAAACTTTCAAGCCCCAGAACTGGTCCGGGCTATTTCAATTTTGGTTCCAATCAAGATGCTGTCTTCTGGGACGCTGCACCGTGCTGCCTCCATCGTCAGACACCACCCTGACGTTGAAGGCACTAAGCACCTCTGAAACGTCGATCAGCATCACCCCAGAAGACGGCCATTTTCATGCTCGTCTCCGTAAGACCCTGGCGTCTCCCCTGGCTTTTACGGAAGTTTCAGTCAAATCATAACGTTGGAAGTCGTTACCTGGAGTATAACCCCTTGTCGGCTGTCCGCAGCTGCTCTTTTGTCTTCTCCTGTGGACAATCTGTGCCGTAGTGACGCCATTTCTTGAGGCAGGTTAGTTTAGCGGTTGCGGGTGAGTGCCCTGAAATAGACGCAGTGGCCTCTCGGGTCTTTAGACCGCGACTGTGATTGATTCAGCATCGTTAAATAGCTGGGTTCGTGTTCGATGATTAAGTCAAGGAGGGTGAGATGAGCGGGGTGCGTTGGGAATGCCAGAAAGTCATTACAAATTGGGAAGATAATATTAAAATGGTTGTTAAGGACGTTCCATCGGGCTCAGTGGTGGCCTTTCGTGGACAGGTAAGCGACCGGAAAGAAACTCCTGTCGATTGAGTTGTTGCGACATCACAGGGCGCCGCGGATGGCCTCGTGACGTCTTCGTCTCTTCACTTCCGCTTGACGAAGCAGCCATTGTTTCGCCACAGTCGTTTTAACATTCACGGCCGACAATAGTCCACTTACACCTCAGCTGGAAGGCTGTGGCATATAAACTCTACAATTTGCGTTGTCATGCCCCGTGTTTATTTTCGCTCAGTCCAGGGCGCAGAACAGTCGCTTCCACGTGTTGACACGTGCGGACCTGTCACATTTCGTTCGTCGAATGCAGTCGGAATGTGTCGTAAGTCACGCACGCGCAATATTTCCTCTTGCAAGATTCATTGTCGAAGGCCCGTGTCACGTGGTTTGCAGTTCTTGGAACACTTCCCCGACGACGAAGGGGAAGTGCTTCATACCGCGTTCTCGATGTCTTAATCAGTTACCTGTTCTTCTGGAACCGAAAATTAGCCCTTCCCCTCTCCGCGTGACCGAGAACCATCAAAACATCAGCCGATTTTATGATTATTGTTGGAGTGCAAAGACAGATGGCTCTGCTCGTCCCTTCCATTTGAAATTCCGTGTCACGTGATCGGGCAAATGCACTAATTGCTTCTTGTACGTACGCGGTTATGAGAGTTGATTCTGTCTCCGCAAGGACAGAACGTAAGAGTGAGGGAATTTCTAGAGCAGCTGAGTTACTGTCAGCTTCTGGAGGACGGGGACCTCGCTGCCAGCAGTGACTGTACACGCCCGCATCCTTCGGCTTCCTGTTCTCGGTAACAGATTTTATGATCTGGTCCTTGTGTTCGTAAATATGGTCATTGTTTTGACACCATGGGAAAATTATCCTCGTGGAGTGGCTTCATGAAGCACTAATGCAACAAAGTCTGAAACGAACAGATTTCAGCGGACTGCGTTGTTGTTTTTATTGAAGATCCAATTTAATTTAAAATTTGTTTTCCGTCGTCGTTAACGAGGCACGAAACCACCAATGGTAAGAATAAAGTTTTCTTTCAAACGCGATCGAACTTTTAGAACGACACTGACCCAGTTTGGCCAAATTCGTTCGGCTCTTAGCCAGAACATCGTTTCAACTTGCTTTACCATCGCAAGAGAAATTAAATCGTCCTGATTGTCCGCGTCTTCCTGTGTGCGATAATAGATCACTGAATTATGGATTTCTTGTTGAGGCCACAACATGGCGGCCGTGCGAAAAAATCTTGTCTCTGTTTGGCGCGAGGAGCATTAAATTTGGTCTGCAATTCTACAGAATGGCACGAAGTGTCGCTTGCACGTGAGGTAAAGGCACATCTGCCCCCTGCGTCGTGCAGAAGAGACCCACTGGGTGGGCTTTGGCGGGGAGAAAAATCCCGGCCGCTCGGCCCGTGCCGTGACATCGCACGAAACACGGAAGGTCTCCTTGACGACGGTGGACGTGTCCAGCAGCTGGACATTTTGGCTGAAGACCAGAGACCGGACGTCAAGAACGTCACGGCCGAGTGCCTGACACTTTCGCTTTGTACACGGGTGGTCCTCGGTTCAGATCTTGTCTGGTTATGCTGAGATTTCTCGGTGTTTTCTTCAGTACTTCTAGGCAAATACCAGGATTGATACTTCACGTGGGCGCTTAAAAGCCTTGATGAAGTGTGTTCCTGTAGGCAGCATGACACATGACGCATCGGGACTGGAATTTTTGGCTCAGAAAATATTCTGAGGCTTCGTAACACTGTGAACCAATGCCAGCGAAGACAGGCAGCGGTGTTCGAACGGGACTGCCCTCCAATTCAGGAGTGTCTGGTTCTCGAGTGCATTGTACTGCTCTGGATATTGGCGCCGGGTGGAGACATCTGTGAGCGGGTGGCCCAAAACGCGCAGCGGCGAGCTGGGTGGTCCGCCGTGTGTGGCTTCCCGACAGGTGGGCCTCAGCCAACGCGGAACACCGCAGTTACGGTTCCAACTTTCCGTTCCTCGGGAAATGCCTCGTCGCTGGGATTTCATTACGTGATCGTGCCAGATGAGATGGGTCGGGGATGTAGCACGTACGGGGAGCTGAAGTCTGGTCCTAAAACCCGAAGAGAAGACATCTTTTGGGTGACGTGGGCTTAGATCGAAAGATGATATTAAAATGTGAAGGCGTGATTCCACCGGCTCAGGACAGGGCACCCGTTAACTAATCGTAGGATCCCGCTGAACGACTGTCAGCTTCGCAAGAAGGTCTTTGCTGGAAAGATCCTGACTTCATTTGACACGCCCTCTTGTACACGGTGGGGAAATTAACTGGCCAGGATCGGTGCTGACTGCAGTCCGAATACAAAGAGAGGCCAATCCAGTCACTCACTAGTCGAGATTCGAAGTGGAAACCTCTCAAGCACAAGCCGTGAGCGACAGCGGGTAGCAGCCTTGTCTTGGTGGGAGGTCCACGTCCTGGTAAGTGGGTTGCGAGACAGACCGGAAGTCGTACGCGCTCTGCTCTGTCGTGCGGTCAACGATCAAAACAAATGAGGCAGCCCAGATGCTGGATGGACCTTCAGAGAGCGACGTGATTATGTCATCAGTAATCCTCTTAATTGCGAATTACGCGTTGTGTATTATTATACAATTCCATTTATTCACCACCTGCTTCTATGTGCCTTGCCCCTCAGGTACATAGTGCACAGGTGCGCCAAACCTTGATTTTCTGAGGCTTATTACAACGAAGTTTCTGGAGAACACATTTTTAGTACGTGAAAATGCCGTATTAGCGTGTTCCTGCACATGCGCGCTCTTCCCAGAATGCAGTTCGCTAAGGCTTTTGAAATGGCGCTAAATCTGCAGTTGCACCAGTAATTAACAATATATTCGCATTCCACATGCGCAGTGTCTTGATCTGCGTGAATTTGCGTTTTCCTACTGTTTTTTTTTCCTTTTGTGTTTTGATTATTCAACGACGTATGTTGGGTGCCGTGTGGATGCAAGCGAGACTGGAGGTGTAGCTGTGTAGTGCATTCTTAACCTCAACATTAGACGAGGTGAGTGGTTAACTCAATTCTCTGACCATTTTACCCACAAAATGAACTCCAGTGTGAATTATAATATTATTACTATTTGCTGCTGTCAATTCCCCCCCCAATTCGTGACCATTCTTTCAGCTTATTTACGTGTTCCCATTTGTAACTTTAATTAGGGACTTTTCCCCTTAGGGTACAGTTTGTCCACAAAAAGAGGCAGGTTGACCTCCTGTTAGGATTTTTTGTTTTTTCATTTGTTTGCTTGTATCAAACTTTAGGCCGAAATACCTGGAAGTGGTTGTTCTGCTTGTCAGAAACTTAGCGCAGAAAGGGCATAAGTCAGTGAGGGAAAAATTATTTTTCTTGTTTGTGCAGACGTAAATTGAAGATGGTTTTATCGGATTCTTTAGGTTTATGATCAGTGCAGAGAGGTCGGTGGGAATTGTGTCATTCCGTCACGCGCGGCTGACGTGAGTCATAACGCAAAGAGACATTGTAAAACAACAGTTGTATTTATTACAATAATACAGAGAACCGTAACACTACAGTGTGCAGTGGGAGAGAGAAAACGTCGCTCTGGACAGAGCGTGGCAAGATGGCTGCGGGCTGTTGAACTCAGCGACGTAACTTTTGTGGCTTGATGATCCTTGTCTTATTAATTGTGCCCACAGAGACTGGAAAGGCATATTTTTTTAATTTTTTTTCAACAGCCAGCAAACAAACTCTCAAAATCCAATGCACATTTACACCAAGAAGTTTTCATATACACTTCAGTACATAATAAATTAAATACATTACCTCTTTAAAAATAAGTAAGAGAGAGACGAGCTGTTTCGGATCGACGTAGATCGCTTCATGCATGGGCATATGAGCTCCCTCCGTTCTCACGTACTTGCTAAGTATTAAGTCCTCGTGTGAACTGTACAGCCACACAACAAGTTCTTTGGCGTCGCTAAAGGCCACTCCTGTCCACTGTTTTGTCTCTTAAAGCTTACTCCGAGTTGTGATTGCTTGAACCCTGTATCAGACGGGGGCTCCACGTGGCGAGCGCGACCTGTTCCTGAGTTGCGTTTGAATACTGAAGGTGGACGAGAGGTAGATGCGGTGCCCTACGCGTCCAGCCTGCGAAATCAAATTATATTTTATTATTTAGTGTTCTGTCTGAGGACAGGTCCATATGAACAGGATCCTTCCATCCTTTTCTCGGACTGGGACCTGTTCATATACGTTCTTGGCAGATGATCCAGAAGTGGTTTGCCATTGCCTTCTTCTGTGTGTGAATGGAGTAATTGTTGGGATGCCACGGAGAAACCGGGGAAGCCCCCGGAGGAAAACTCCGTGTTGCCTAGACCACGGCCTTGCCCAACACAAGTTATAAATTCGGGCACCACCGGGAATCGAACCCGAGACCCCAGGATTACAAGGCCAGCGTGGCTCCCGAAATCAAATTACACCAATTAAAGGCAAAACCTGCAGGTTCATCAATTATGCAGCATAAAATCTGAAATCGTGATGATGGGATGCACCTGGTCCCTGAATGAAATGTCTGATGGCGAGAGAGGAATTTATTGATGTTGGTTGCCATGGAAGTTTCAGATCATGCAAATCAATAGATTTATTGATGGCCTTGAAGTTGATGAGCAAAACTGAATGCGGCCCCACGGATGAAAACCCCTGCTCTTGTGGATGTTCTGTCTGTCCGTCTGTCCATAGCACTTCTGTATTTTATTTAGTATTTCGTTCATATAAGGCCTGGAGCATAAATTAGCATAATGTTACTTCCATGTGAATAGCGTTAAAGTGTCGTGGCAATTAAAATATAATCTTAGGTACGCGTTTTAAATTGAAGCAGTAATGCGAGGGCCACACCCCGAGATGATGTCACGTGCAATTAAATTAATGCAAGATGGCGTGTTAGCGTAAACATGAAAGTGGCATCCTCAATAAAACTTGACCACCCCCAAAAACTTTTCCCACTCAAAATTTTAGTATTTTGCAAAAGATTTTGTTTGTGAATATTTATCTGTAGTTGACTTCATGTGCAGTATCAGTCAGATAATCTGATAATGAATTGGAAGGGGCACGGAAACCGGGACCTCCGGGATACGAAGCAGGCGTGCCAACCACTTGGCCACGATGTTCAGTGCCTGCATGATTGTCTTCACACCTGAAAATCGCCTTCCTCCCCATTTGAAGGCGTCGTCGCCCTACCTGTGTCAGGTGACGACGGCCCACCGCGCGAGTGACGCCATCAGCTGGACCGCGACTAGGCTGACCGCGAGGGTGGGTGCCCCGCTGGGCGTGGGCGGCTCTCGGTTGTCGGGGGGCTCCGCGTGAAAGCAGAGGCGCGCCATGTTGGTGCGGATGCGCGGGCAGTCGTAGTCCTCGTGGCCGTCACAGACGCAAGAGTTGAGCTTCGCCGCCTTCTCCTGCCTGCGCAGGATGGAGATGCTGTTGTTGCATCGGTGGGTGCACTTCTTGCCCTGGAACATCGCGCGACAGTAGCGGTTGTAGTAGTCGAGGGCCGTGGAGCACAGAGCGTCGGCGGAGCAGATCCACTGCGCGGTCCGACAGCTGACAATCGTCTCGTTGCGCGTGGCGACCAGCACGTGCGGGCGACAGACCTCGACCTTGTGCTTCGTCTCCTCACACAACTCGTCGGCGCAGGCGCACGTCATGAGGTCTTGGCCCTCCTCGGTGGAGGTCAGCGCGATGAGCGCCAACTGGCACGACTCGGGGCACGAAGTCCAGGCCCCGTGAAGCACGCCCGAGCATCCGACGATGTAGTTCTGAAGGGCCATGCCGCATCCCGTCCGGTACGCGCACTTGAGGCGGGCCTCCTCGCACGACGACGATGTCACCTCGCGGAGCACACAGCAGACCGCCATCGCCAGCAGAGCGAACATCGCCTGCAACAGAACGCATACCGCCGTGGTGATAAACCCGTGCTTGGCTTCCGAGCTGCAGGTGACGCCCTCCCCGGGAAGAGAACTAGGGACACATTTTCCCGGGACCCTCCCTCGTTTTTTCTCTTCCTGGTCTCACGGAATATGCCTTCCGAGTTTTGTGTACGTCGGAACCGTTCTCGAGCCACTCCTGTTACGCGGACCTCAGATCCGATGTAGCGAGCTTTCTATACGAGCCACACGTCGCCATGGGAACAAGGAGCCACTTTGTGAACGCAGCGGACTCTTTCATCTGCAGTACTCGAAGGGGAAAATTTTATTTCGAAGGTTCAGAACCGAAAGATAGGAGCTGCAGTTGCCCGGTCTCTAAGTACGCTTAATTTCGTCCTTAACTCAGTCTTAATGTGCTGTATGCTGTCGTTATCGACAGCATTAACTCCGATGAATTTCCCAAGGATTTACGTCACATCCGGTCGCTTGGTGAAAAGTGTAACCTAACTTCCGGTTCCATGTCAAGAATAACTCTGCCCCCGCAGACTTCTCCTTCCGTCTGTTTTGCATCATCGTGTCTGGTTGGGCGGGTCCCTCACGCGGCGGATGGCCTCCACAGAGTACAGCCGACAAAGGGTGGTGCATTTCGAGAGGCGAGGTTTTCTTACCGAACTCCCCGAGATTTGTCTTCGGTAGGCTAATACAATTTTGTTAACCTGTACTCATTTTCCCTCGCCACCCCTCCACACTCGTCTGTCGCCGTCCTGACCAAGCGACACATCGTAAAACCCTCGGTACTAAGGTACGGGCTTCGACTCTTGGCTTGTCTCAGAGTCTGTGGGTAGAGACCGTTTTCTGATGGAAAGTAAAATTTATATTACATCAAAATAAAATGCTTATTGGATGAAGAATTCTGATATTTTTAATTTAATGAAATTTTTCGAGTTAATTAGCCTTCGAGGGCAAAGTGTTAATCCCTTTCCACCTGCTATAACACTGAATTACTCTGCATTTTGCATGCACAGGGAATTTACGTTTGATTCTCGTAAGAAACAACAATTATTTCCCTATCGGGCACGGATTGAAATTTTAAATATTATTTACACAAGCTTCGCGCTTCAAATGGATGATGTGAAGACCCGAAGAAGATAAGACACAACATTTGACCTGCAAGTCTATAAATACGCAAGGCTCAAATTTCTGTTTTGGCCTTGGTGTTTATTTATTACGGACACTAGCGTTCTGCTGTTAAGAAGCCGCTTTCACTGTAGAATTTCCCACGAATTTCGTTTAATGCTCACCGCACCGAAACATCCTCGAAATAAAAGTGGTCTCAGATCTACCAATTAACATTCATTTCTGTTTTGTCTTCGCAAAGAAGAAGATCTTTGATTTAACCAAAACTAACGTTTGGCGTTGATCAAAATCCTTTGAGGTGTCTCAACAACTGAATCGTGCGGACGGACACAACTCCTCACTTACGCAAAGAACACATAAAATAGCGAGACATCGATTCGAAACAGCCTGCAATGAAAGAACAGGTTCAAGGACATTGTTCACGTTTTACATTGTTGGCATGAATATTTAATTCGTTGCTGACACACGAGCTGATGATGGCGCTAATATCATTATTTTGTAACACTCACGAATAATCTCGCAATCAGATCGCGTCCGGTTTTGAAACACACCCAAGAGCCACGGCTGGTGGCTGGTAAACAACCCGAAGGCTGTTCATAGCCGCGTTCACAACAGCCCGCCTACAGTACAGTCCACACCTAAAATCTATTTTAATGCGCTCATTCAAATACGCCTAGGTATTCCGATCAAAATTTCTTATGCATTTGTCATTTCCCCCACTGGCCTACGCGCTACATTTTTCTGCTTGTAACTTTGTTCACGCCATAGAATTTTGAGACGAAAACATTGTTATATCACGATAACGCCTGAAATACCCCTGACACGGGATGAAGCCCTCTCCCTGCGGAGGTCACGTGGCAAGGGAGAAGCAGCAGCAGGTGCTGCGTCTCAGAAGGGAACAGATCACAGAACTACTACGCATTGGTAGCTGCTGCTATCGGCCCTTTAAAGCATGGTGGTTATTATAAGCACCACCCTGTCTTGACAAGTCTTCATTTTGCCCACGGAAAAGTTTTTGTCTCTCGCAATGAACGCCGACTGTTTCCTCAAACAGCATTGTCCAAATTGGTTTTTGTAATGGTGAAATGTGTTTTCTCTGCGGTAGGGACTGAATGTTTAAAATATAATTTAGATGTGCTTCTGCTTCAAAGGGCCGAGTAACTAAGCCAAATATCGGCAAATTATTTAAAGGAATCAAGAGTTCGTATTGTCCCAAGAGGCGTTAATAGGTTATGTCGAAACTATAATTGTCCAGCGAATGCAATTAATATTCGAGTACGTTCGCATTTGAAAAATATACATTTTCTCTTCATCAGAATTTATAAGAAGCCAGCTGTTAACACTCACTCACTAGTTTCACTTATAAATTAACTTGATATAATAAATAGTATCTTCAACAATGCGTCACTGCCTAAAACGAAACGTGGGTTCGTTGTTGTGCGTCAGCGTCCTCACCTTAGCCGCTGACCGCGGAGAATCTCACATGGTTCCTTCCACACTTGGCCTCACCAACCTAAACACACAGCCGGCCTCTTCGCTGCTCACAGCGGAATTAAGTTGTGAAGCATCAAGATGACAGCCAACCCGTCGCTCCGCCCCTGGACCGATCGGGACCCCCACCACGGGGCGTGCCACGTTGCCACGTCTCGCATTCCGCGCTCACACACGCACAAGGAAGTCACCTGTTTGTGTTTATACAAGCCAGAGCGATGTAGTTCGGGCGATAAAAGATACGAATCATATTAAAGCACTCGGGACCGCGCGTTCAAATGTTTGCTTAACGCCAGCTTGTTTGTTTTGCCACGGAGCTGAGAGTTTGTTTTTGTTAGTTGCTAGTTCTTAAACAAACCACTTACTTCTTCTTCTTCTCCTCCTCTCCCGGCTCTTCGTCGCACTTAAACTGAGGCGAGAAAAAGTGGCTTCTGTATTCGTGAACTGCTAATTACGCGAACACGATAATTACATCCATTTAATGATGCGAAAATTGTAAATCCCAACTTCGCTTCGCTTCTCTTTGACGTACGATAATAGATACCATTTGAAAATGCAGTCCGTACCGCAAAGAAAACGCAACACGTCTCAGTGGCAACAATCCACTGGAAGGAACTGCATAAAATTGGACTCTATGGAGCAGGAAGTTCAACTTTTGAAAATGTTTGATCAATTTCGAAGCAGAATTGGAGGCCGCCGTGTGCGTGGCCTATTTAAGAGACATCGTCATTAAAAACAAATAAAAAATGTTACGAGGGCGAAAGACGAGACCTCGGATAAACCAGGCGGTTACAACTGTTGAGGCCGAAGCTGTGAGCAACCGACAGCTTCCTTAAATTACGCACAGAGATCGAAACATGCGAGTCTGCTTAAGAATCAGTTGGTGTGAACAATTTTTTTTTTTGTACACAATGTTTCGGGGCCTGTTTCTGCCTCCATCATCAGGGATTGATAGTCACATCAGTCACTGGCCGTGAAAACTTGCGGTTTCGCACAGTGTTCGGCGCGTTATTCAACTCCTCGCGACCAGTGAATTTGCGGACTGTATATTTTCCGTGATTTTCTTCAGACACAAGCCGTGTCAGAGTCTACTTGCTGATCGGATGATACAGCATTATGACGCCGCTGTGGGGATTATGACTCTTTACAACGAACGGGCGGTCTCCGCCCCGCCAAACCGTTGTCATAGTAACGAAGGAACTCGTGAACAGTTGAAGCGTGAAGCCGCCAGGTTCGCTAATGAAGTCGGTAGTTGCATCCCGGCCCGGTAGGGGGCACAGATTTCTGCTCTGGTGCGCATTGAGAGGCTTTCGGGTTTACAGCACGAAGCCAGGGCTTGCCAAACTGCAGGTCACCTCTTCGCATCCTACATCTGACCATTTAACAAGCAAACAAATACGAAGCCGTCCAAGACATTTGGTGGCTGTGCCGTCGGGGACTGGGAAAATCGACAGCCGACTCCGTGTTTGCGCATAGCGGAAGGGGCGTCACATCCGTTTTAATATTATCCTGACACACGCTCCCAAGTCTTCCGAGTGACCTCTTTCCTTCAGGTCATCAGTTGTTGGCAGTTTATGGTCGTGATGGACACCCCTCGTCCCGTGGAAGTGCGAGGGCTTTGTCAGTGATTTTCGGATTTGAATTCTGGGGGTGCCAGTTCTCAGGTAAGAGGGTCAGCTCTTTGTGTCACTGGCATTGACGGGAGCCGTGAGAAGAAAGCCTGCCAGTTGCTGCCGCACACTGAAATATTATTTCAGTCTTTTGTGCGTGGCCTTCACTGATTTGGTAGGAAATGCTGTGATTTGTCTTCGTCAGACTCGGAGTTACTGTCGTATCCCTGGCAGGGAATCGGGCCCTTGACTCCCCGCGTCAGGATACGAACTGAAGATGTGCCGAGCGGATGCGATCTTGTCTGGTGGCCTTGGAGCTCGTGGGTAGGGCAGCGTTTAAGAGTGAAAGCCCAAGAACAATCTTCAGTCGTCTAAATGGATTACTTTATTAATTAATAATAATAATGAAGAAGGTGGTTATGCCGAAACGCCGGATCCTTGACTGCCACGGCCAAATCGTGAAGACAGCGTGACTGCCTCCGATAAAGTGTGAAAGCGATGTCCCCCCGATACTCGTTTTCGAAGTGTATTTAAAGGCCTCGGCAAATGGAGTTTTCGTCTTTTGCCACTTCACAGATCCACTGCCTCCACACTTACGAATTCCATTAGGTCGAGCGTGAACAGACACACACCAGCAGGGATGGTCTGGCTGCTGCAGCGGTCACAGAATTACCCGGCCACAAGGTTCCCACAGTGGAGGCTACATACATTCTCCAAGATCCCTATCGAAACAATATCCGAAGGTACCCTCAACATGTGGTCCGCAGTTCGGATGCGACAGTTCATTTTATGCAATTTGTAAGAGAACTCAAAAAATTCCTTCCGGTCTTCTGTGTAGTACGGCGAATTGGCAGAGACAGGCCTTGTTATGCATCACAGTCTAATGATTTCAGAGAAACTGTCATATGCTGCAACTTCTCTTCAAGCAGAGTAAGGCAGGTCATCTGTCTATTCATTGTACAGAAATTCCATATCTAAAATAAGAATAGGAAACAATTTGTCACCTGGATATCAAGTTACCAAAGGGTTACGTCAGGGATGCTGTACATCACTCACATTATTTGAAATTTAGGATTTTTACTTGGAGACGGAGTAATATTCCAATCTCCGAAACGTCGTTTTAATTGGTTATTGGTCTTGGACGATGGATAAAGTCCAAAGAATAGTTTGCTTCAACATCTTAAGAGAGACTCGAACCCTGGAAAGTTTGGCGTCGTTCTTTTCTCGCTACTAATTTCCTGTCAACATAAACCATTCTTCTTGTCTGGAGTCGAACCCAGTGTCGAGGCCTTCGTTTC